ATTCAAAGTCAATTTCGTTTTTTAGTTTGATTTTGTCACACAAAGTATGCATTGATTTAATTTGGGTCAAATATAACGTATTGGATATAATCAAATTCTTCATATATCCTAGATATGGGGAGACCAAATGTTGGTAGATTGGTCCAATGCTACATGATGCATGGATTCATGTCCAATATTAACCGAATCGAAGAAGTTGGTCGATCGGTATTAGTTTTATCTTACTCGATTCCATAATGTCATACTCGAATCGGCTGATTCAGTGGTCAGATCATGTTGTGTAGAAAAACGTAAAAAGATTTAGAAATCAAGATTGCAAATGAGATTCATATTTGATAGAGATGAGATTGCATTGCTTTTTCTGGACAGGCCGATCATATAGCCTAAGTAGTCTAATTATTTAATAAGATTATTTTAGTGGTTATTTAAGTATTAATTATCTTGTTTAACAAGTATCTTTATCTTTGTAAGGCTCATTTATGCTTTTAGTATTTAAGGTTTTCACATTATTATTAATTGGGTGGTTGATATTTAATTGGAAAATTTCAAAATAAATTCAACATGTATAGGGGTGACTTTTTTGTCCTGACGGAAATATTGAAAAACAGAATAGTCTCACATCTTTCAAAAATTAATCAAAAGTATGACATTTGATTCGATTTTCGACTGGAATGCCACGCTGCGCAGAGGTAGCGTTTTTTCTTGACAAGCTGACAACAATCATCACATGTGGCATGACACTATACCCGTGGGACCAGCTTTGAAATTTTTTCCTATTTTCTATTATGTTATGCTCTTCTTTTGTTATCTCAATTATATATATATATATATATATATTAATAAAATATATTATTAAGTAAATCTAAGACAATTATTATGAATATATATATATATATTATTTATTATAACTATTTATTAAATATTCAATTATGAATAAGGATACAATATAGATTAAAATAAAATTAGAAAATATTTTTATTTACTTATATTTTGTGATGTGTCATTATTAATAGTTATTCTTTTAGCTTCTTTTTAATATCAAATTATTATAAAAGTAAAAAATAATTTTATTCATGAGATAATTATAGTTAATATTTTTTACTATATTTTCAGTTAAATAATTATAAAATTATAAAAAAAAAATTGAAAATATGAATATTCCATAATACATCAATTCATCAATTGTCCAGTGCTTCAAAAGTTTCTCTTAAAATGATTCATTTTAACATATCCGGGGTTTCAGATGCCGATTTTCTCAAATTGTACTCCAAAGTAGGGATGGCAAAACGACCTGGACCCGGGCTGACCCGGAGCATTTGGGGCAGGAAAAAGTTTGCCCCATTTCAATAATGGGCCGGACCAGGTCCGCCCGCAAGTTAAACGGGCCAGGTCTGGGTTCTGTATCCTGGCCTGCCCGACTTGCCCCGCCTCGACCCGGCCCGGCCTTTTTTTATTGATTATTTTTAAATGAAATTATATATAATGTAAATTAGGGATTTAGGTTGTGAAATTTCTGGTTTCTCGCACAAGCACTGCCGCAAGTACGCAACATCTCTACTCACTTCTCACCTCTCTCTCACAGTCACTCTCTCCGGCCGCCTGGCATCTCTAGCCTATCGACGTAGTACACAATAGCTTCTTCGCACCTCGCTCCGCACCTCCGAAGTCCGACAAAAGCTCCGGCCGCTCCTCGCCTTGCTTCGACGGCCCGTCTCACCTCCGAGGCTCCGGCACAAAGGTTCGACGCCCCACCTCCTACTGGACGCCTATTTGGATAGTATTGGTACATTTAAAAAAAATAAATAAATAAATTGTTCATGTTGTCTTGTGATTTGAATTGCTGTCTAATTTGGTATGGCATAGTAGTTGGGATGGGTTTATGTTTAGGAATTAGGACGAATTGTTGTGTTGTTATCTTGAGTTAGGATGAACTTGATATGGCTCAAAAGGAA